GAATGTGGCCTCTGTAGCACTCCTACTCCGTGGGACGCGAGCCGCCACTTGGGACATCTTCCAGGCACAAAGCACGGGCATTTACTACCGTCGAGGAGGACTGACCGAACGGATGCACGGTACAAGAGGGGAGAGGTCGCGCATCGGGTACATAGGCATTTTGTTAGGGCTGAGAATTCCTGCGAACAACTTTCGTCGGAACCCTCGCCCGAAACCACCGGCGAGCAGGCCGAAATTTGGCGACTCGAATGCGGGATAGCCTCACTAAGTACAAACATATATATGGGGAATGCTAAAACTGCTAGTGTTAGTAGACTTATGTTTTCATAATCCGTTCTGCGCCTTCCCGTGCCTCTGGTCTTCTTGACTCTTTTGACACCGGGGCCAGGTGGGGAGTAAGAGAGAGTGTGGCAGATGTTGTGCAATCCTTCTACCACTACAAACTAACTCACGCACAAGTCACCGTACCTGTTCTCATCTTGCCGTGGAGCGCACGGTAGACATCGTCGGCAACGACGGCCGAACTGTCGTGTTTTCATGACCGCAGCATATTTTAAGTACTTCACTCCGTTTTTTCGCTACTCTCGTCTGTTGCTGTCCCTGGCGATGGGTTCGACTGTGGGTCCGTAACGTCTGGCTACTAGACTTCCTGCTCCATCGGTCGGATCTCTTTGCCTGTGACCAGTTCTCTGGGACAAGTCTTCCTAACACCCGGACACTTCGAACACTTGGGATCACGTAGAAGTCAACTAATTTTAAATTAATTTTAAAATTGATTGGTCTAATTAGTAGCAGGTTTTGACTTTCGCTGACCGGATTAGTCTGTTGTTTGGAGAGATCGTCACGTCCGCGTGGGCAAGTTCATTGTCTGGGGTGTCTTATGTCAGTGGTGATGGTGGTGGTGGTAACACAGTCTCGGGTGTGCCGTGATGTCTGCTTCGCGCACCTAAGACACTGCCGTCGCCTGCCCACCAATCACAGGGTTTCGATCGGTTAGGGGCGACGTAAGGTTACTTGACCAAGAACCCTATCATCCCTTCCTGCCTTTTTGACCTCTTCTGGTCTCACCACCTCTGTTTCCTGGCCATTTTTGGAATAAACAGCCTTTGTCCTCCCTTCTCCTCCAGCTCCTGTCGCTCCCAGTCCAACTCTCAGTCGAGCGAGGATGCTCTTATCTGGTATGAGTGCACTGATGTTACCTGGCCTGTCGAGCTGAGCTTTAGCCCTTGTTACAAACCCTCTTGTTCCTCTTCACCTGATTTAGTGTCAGCTCAAGGCTTTGGAGAAGTCCATCGCCGCCATCTGACGGGACGAAGGGCTGGACCATAGGAAGTGTTGACTTGCCAGTCGATCAAGGCGTCAGTGACTACAAGGTGTGTTTGCGTGTGTGCCTGCCGAGGCTTTTATTGCGCTCTTTCTGAACGCAAGGTCCAGATTTAGGCTACCTCACTCATGATTCCTGAGCAATCGTGTCTTGAGTGGTTGCTACTTGGCGGGGCGCTTCGTCCTGTTTCTGATGGTCAAGTTGCACCTGCCAGTCGGTCCGTCTGGCAAGAACAGGAACTTGTTGGAGGTTGATAGCAACCCCGCTGACTTAATCACGCTCCGCTGCCCGAGGACTTCCCGTCCACTTTTGCTGAACTCATAGGAACTTCATAAATTGAATAGTTTTTGTGTATTTTTGGTATCAACTTCCGCACAAAATCTGCGCGTCATCGTTCGTTAGTGAGAATTTTCATATGTTTAAGAAGTATCCCGTGAAACCATAAAATGTTTTGATCTTCATCGAAGGACTGTGGACGAGTTATATGCTCCTTAAGGAGGGATTTGTCTTGTGAAATTGTCATGGGAGACTCGAAAGGTTCTCGTTCGAAAACCAGAATTCCACCACGGGGAGATTTCCTTGAATTTAATCTCAAAAGTTACTGATCTTACGGACCCGCCTACGTATACTTGTTTAGTTGAGAACACATTTTTCCATCTGAATTCATGTTTTTGTTTTGAGCAGATCTGTCCCATCTTAGTTACCAAATAAAGCATGGGGTGGCACACGTATGTCTTAGGTCAAGTGCGTGGGCTCACCTGCTATTGCGCCTTCGACTGCCAGCGTGTACAATCGGATGTTCAATGTGTCGGTAGATCACTAAACTGGGCTTCGACACGCCAGATCCCATCGCCGGTGGTCCTTAATACCCTGTCGCTGTGCCATACCAGATGCCGCACACGTCTTCCACACAGTTGACCTTTTAGCTCTTATGCCACCTTATCCACCCTGGTTGTGGAGATGTTCTCGTTGCAGGCAGATGCTTGTACATTTATCCCCTAATCGCGTAATTCAGCAAGCGTTGATATTCCGCCGGTTTTGAAGCCTTCGTACCCATAGCCGCGAATGTGTTCAAGAATGAATACCGACAAAGACAACGAAGGCAGAGATGGTCACTTACAGCTTACTAGCTGTCGTCAGCCAGCCAGCCAGCCATACCCAGCTCTAGGTTTAAATAACTTAGATTTCAGATACGCGCTATATGATCATTGAGCGTCAAGTAGTCCAAGACTCTACGATTGAGTCACGGGCTCTTATTACCACTGATTGCTTCGCGGCTGCCTGCAACGGCTCCAGAATCGGCGAGATGAGCATGTCCCGTAATCCGATTGCTGAGCTCCCATCCTAACCTTCACTCCTGAGTGGGTCCCCCACATGTGCCTGTAATCACGCCTCGGCAATGTACCGCATTAATAATAATGAGCTGTGAAACCCTAAGTCGGCTTATTCTCGCCCACTGCCTCACGCCTCCTGGTCTCCTTTTCAAGCCTCTTCGCACATATGCGCCAGGTTGTCTGAGCTGTATTAGGCGAAAATGTTGTCTGATTGGTGTGACTTCGGCCTGTGAGAGATTTTTTGTGAGTTCGAACTGTGCAGATCGTTTGGATCCGGGTGTTAGGTTCCGTCAGCGGGTGGGGGCTGTCTTTACCCTCAGTGTCTTATGTTCATGCCACAGCAGTTTTGTAGAACACCAAGCCGACTGACTTTCAGGGCGGGAGATTTGTAGTTCGCCACCAGTAGTTCTCTAGCCGGTCCTTCCATGGGTTTTCTCTTTTGAGCCGCGAAATGTGACTGGCACCTCTTCTGCTCTCAGTTTGGTCTCCACGACCTTCTCTTCTCGGCCTCTGCTTACTCCCTTCTTCCCCTGTCATCACTGTCTACCTGACTCGCTTCTGTACGTTTCCTGTTTGGTTAGTTCCTGTCGTCATCAGTTGGATGCCTCGACTGGACAGTCCTCCATTGTCTGGTATGTTGAAAGTCCACTCCCTAGCGTGATCGAGCCGTCCGTCTGTGACATTCTCGTCGGTCTTCCATTGTAATCCTCCTTTCGCTTCGTTCAGCACTAGTGACACACTGTGGACCAGTGCCAAAGATGCCAATGGGTCTGCACGATGGAATTTGTGGAGGGTTGCTCACATCGACCTGATACGGCGTGCTGGTGCTGACGGCGATTTTAAGGTTTGTCCGTCACGTAGTATCCCTGCTACGTTAACTTTGTTGTCCGCGAGCATGCTCTGTCTTAGTCATTTGGCCCTTAGTAAGATTTTCATTGTCACCCTACCTGTTCCAGGCCTATGGAGAAGGGGTCCTATTGTCAGGCGAGTTCCAGAAAGCAGTTCGGAAGAAGAAGATGCGATCACTGGAACAAGAAGTTTGTTGGCCTGACGTTTCAGATTCTCACTCGAACCCATCATCAGAGACGGTTGCAGATAGAGCTAGTGGAGGCACAAAGCCTGCGGTATTTATAGTACATAGCTGCCGTGGGGCCACATGCGTACTGTAACTAACAGCTCTCGTGATCACCGCTGGGGGGGGGGGGGCTTATTAAGGCGATTTTGGCTCGTCAGTCCGTGTCCGAGTCGTTAACTGCCGCAATTTCATCATCCGTGTTGGATGTTGACGTAATGATCACTCGGCCCGCTGTCACCAGGATAGTTGAGCGCCATCGTCCTCCCCACGCGACTGATTCCCCTGTTCAGGCAATGTCTCAGCACTGAATATGGCGTCGGGGGATCATTGCGCCTGTTGATGGATTGTAGGCCTAGAAACCATGACCGGGTTCCGTTGAATGAGCTGCTACCTCAGAGCTGACGTCTTTCCTCCTCACCGCTGCCACATGCTCAGTCATCCGTGTCCGGAGTAATCTCCCAGCATCCGCCAAGTCATGAGGCCGAAAGACCCGCTGCCGCGGCAGGAAACGTCTAGAGTCGTTTACCGGACCTGGTGCAGTTGCGGACAGAGCAACTGGGTCCGAATTGCATTGTCCTGCAATTTCCGCGGATGTTGGGCGATGTCGTAGTTATGTACGCGCATGCACACCTATTCTTATCGGAAGATCGATTGAAGAAAAATGGGCATAATTCCGAAGGTCACAGAAAATCTGACTGTTTGACTCTAAAGCAGTGATAGAAATGCATTGGAGGCGTCAGTCCAAACATACGATTATGCTGCTTCCCCTTAATCCCCTTTGCGTCTTTGACACACGACACCAACGACGACGTTAACCGATGCCCCTTTGAGTGGGCCTATAGGCGGTGGCTTGCGCGTGAACTTGTTCATCACGAAGTGAACACGCGCTGCGTCTACCTCGCCCACCAAAGAAAAGATCGGGACGGGCGGAGGTGTCCGCGGACGCGGCGCCTGACAAGGTCACTTGACCCGTATGCACGTGCCGCACACCTGCCATGTTTTTGAATCTCACATGGTGCGAGTGTTGTAAAATTCGCATTGCGAAGGAGTAGTTGTGGTAGTGGTAGTATTAGTAGTAGTGAGGGTAGTAGTAGTAGTAGTAGTAATAGGAATTGTAGTAGTAGTAGGAGGAGGAGGAGGAGGAGCAGTAGTAGTAATAGTAGCAGCAGCAGCAACAACAGAAGCAGCGGTAGTACTAGCAGAGGGGGTATTAGTGGCACTAGTAGTAGTAGTGGCACTAGTAGTAGTAGTAGTAGTAGTAGTGGCACTAGTAGTAGTAGTAGTAGTAGTAGTAGTAGTAGTAGTAGTAGTAGTAGTAGTAGTAGTAGTAGTAGTAGTAGTAGTAGTGGTAGTAGTAGTAGTAGTAGTAGTAGTAGTAGTAGTAGTAGTAGCAGTAGTAGTAGTAGTAGTAGTAGTAGTAGTAGTAGTAGTAGTAGTAGTAGTAGTAGAGGTTTATACTGAAGCAGGCTTGCCCCTCATCTTCCACAATCCCTCTTCCCCCCGCCAGCATCGCCGCGATGGCAACACAAAGTCAATATGATCGGAAATGAGTATGGGTGCAGTGGCTGGATAATCTTAGCAGCCCGTCATGACGTACCACACGCAACCGGGTTCCCAATCAAAACATACTAGGTCGAAATGAGTGCCGCACGGATCTCATACACATACGTGAGAACGTTGCGAAAGTTGCACTGAGAAGGAGCTGCTTCATGCTAACTCTCACTCCCTGAAAAGGACCGAGTCATCTACTCAGGTGGTAGACCTCCAGACCACGACTCTTAGCATCTCGTACTAGGTTCCAGCTCGTCAGATTTATCATGGTGACTGCGTGCGCTGACTTATCAGCTTCACTGTCTCTTTCCTCCCCCAATGCACCAGTCGACCGTCCGTGCCCCATGTTTGCTCACCTGTTTTGAAGCATAGAAATTGCAAGTTTTCTTGATGGAAACAGGCCATTTCTGGACACTTTCAAATATCCTAGTATGTGACTTCAGTGAATGCGCTACTGACGGCGAAACATTTAGCAGGAGTAACTTTGTTTTCAGTCGTTCCTCCACTTGTGCATTTGAGGATGCTGGTTCTAATGTATGAGATGCGGCGCACACTGCGCTTGTTTTGAATTAGAGATTAACTTTTCAGGAAGTTAAGACAACAGTCAGTAGTTCTTTTTCGTCTGTTTTGTAATTGGTTAGTGCACAGTTCCTTTAAAGTAAAAATCCGCTTGGAGTCCATTCCCCTTCCAACAGCTCTTTTGCCCACTGTCGGATTCTTCACTTCCTTCTAAGTTTCACGTTTCCCCATCTCCGCCCTGGGCATTCGGTGGTCGTTGTTTTCATTCATTGTCATGAGAGTATCTTCGCATCCCACCGCCCTGCTATGGGCTTTCTTTTCTCCGCCGCTCTCTTCATAGTCGGCCCAAAGTTGTCAGTATTTGGAAGTATGCCTTATCAACAGGCTCCATAGTCTCGACTATGCGCATTTCATGATCGTGAAGGTTCTGTTCGAGACGAATTGTTTGAAACGAGCGACAATTCGGCCCTGCTGCTTTGACCCTACCTCTGGTTGGGGGGGGGGGGCGGGGGTGAGAGTTTTTCTCCCAGTCTCAAACACCGTCTGCGTCTTCCCTAACAGTCCCAGCCTTTTGATCGTTCAAGAGTTGGGCACTAGAAGACCTATTAGCTAGTCATCTTCCTATATAATGCATTACTGGGTCGCAGGCACACTTGATGCCACCCCTTAGGAATCGTTCTGCCTACGCTTGCGGTTATAGTTAGAGTGGGGTTTGGTAGAAGCGTTTAAATTAGGTTTAGGACCATTGTTAAACCATCAGTTTGTATTTTCGAAGTCCTGCCCCCCCGCACCGGGCTACGCGGTAGACGCGCTGATCCAGATCACGGCACGGTAGACACTATTGGGGATTCGCAGCCACACCTGAGAGGGAGGGGTGGCACGCCTATGTGTGAGCCCACGTCTCACTAGCCACCCGCGCCTGACCCCTTCACCAGTCTTCTTGACTCTGTGTTGACATCCGGTCCATGTGATCGATGAAGGAGGGGGTGCGTTAGATGCTGCGCAAGTATATCCTTACTATAGACTAATTCAGGAGCAGGTCGCCATCCCTGCACTGGTTCTGTTGTGGGTCACACGATGAAGCAGCTCATCGTTCACGATGGTCGAACTGTCGATTTCAAAGTCCTGGGAAGCCTGGCGGGAAGCGGGGGACGGGGCTGTGACAAGTGTCTCTAAAGCGCTCGATTCTGATAATGTATCCCTAACATTCATTTGTAGTTGATTAGAGAGCAGTGGCTGAGGATCGCCGTCCCTAAGACGTGGGAAGGGACGACGATAGCATCGCCGAGCATGCTCTTGGGTCTCTTTTGAGATTTTTCGGCGCTTATGGCTGTAGGTTCTCATCTCAGTCGGCCGTTGCTTTCTCTATCTCTCTCTATACGACAACGCAGGGAAGGTTTCACCCAGGCTGCCTTTTCACCCCCGTCGTTTTCCTTCCTCTTTCTTCACCCTTTTCCGCCTCCTGGTAGTTGCGAAGCCTGGGTCACACACTTTACTGACATGTCTCACCCCTTACTGATTCAGCTCCTGCAGGGTGGAAGTAGACACTAAGACCGGCGATCCGGTCACACTATGGTAGGTCTGGTATCCAGCCCCCCGGCTCAGTAGTAACTTACATTCTAGCCAAAACAAAGCCCTGTGGAAGGGGGAAACGCGTTCAAATGAATTTGTCCTGGCCACCGTGGATCTGCCGTCGCTCGGGGAGGACGTCTCCTACAAGGTACGCTCGAAGAGTCATCCTATACGAGAACTGACATGTTCCGAGTATATGCCGTAACTCATTCGTTCTTTCCTGGGTGCATAGCTTTGCCTACCTTGACTGCAACTCCGCCGTGAGCATCGTGTATGGCGGGGCTTACGGCCGCCGTAGCACACCTTTTAGGGTTGCAGGAATATTTGCTGACTCTTTTCAGCAAAGTTTTATTGACTGAATTTTCGCGGCGAGGACCGGTATGACTTTCGTCAACCCTACCATAACCAAACCCTCTCTATGATTAATGTTTTACCGGGTGAAGATAGGCTATTTTGTCTTTCATACCGACGTGCAGGGTATAAAAGTATGCCCAACGGACTCGCGATGCTCGGTTAGTCTTCTAAAAGCCCGCTTTGGTTATAAAACGCCTTGTCTGGGTTTTTCAGTCCAGTTTGCTAACAGTAACTTTACTGCCGATGCAAGCGAAGGTGCGACTTCCAGGAACTAGTCGATTAGAAGCAGAATTGATCGCTGGAACAAGAGCTTTATTCGCCTGGAGTTTACAACTCACGCTCGAACCCATTATCAAAGACAATGACAGACCCGTATCTGTCGCGGTCCCTGATGATGGGTTCGAGCGTGAATCCGAAACGTCAAGCGAGTAAAGCTCACATTCCAGCGATCGTTCCTCCTTATTCTCAGATAACTTTGCTGTATTCCAAGGCTTGCGGCCGTCGTAGCATGTCATTTAGGAGTACAGAAACATTTGCTGACCCTTCTCAGCCACGTTTTATTTAACAGATTTAGGGTATCTTGACCTGGGTGTCTTTTATTGACCTCATTATAGCCCATGATCAGACCCCCTCCATGACTGAAATTAGAACTAATGTTTTACCGGCTGCTGGAGATCGGTTACTTTGTCTTTCATACCGACGTGCAGGTTGAAGAAGTATGCATAGCAGGCTGACAGAACGCACAAGTGTTGCTGTCAGTTTTCTAAATACCCGTCTTGGTTACCTAACGTCTTGTCTTCGTTTTTCGATTTAGTAGAGGCTGTACTTCGCACGCATTCGTCATTTTAAGGTCCTAGTTTGCCATCAGTAGTTTCACTGTACGGTATAGGTGTAATTCTGTACAGTTGCCCTGCAGAACTGAACTTTTTGTCGCTGAAAATAGAACTTCACATCCCCCCACTCGCCTTCTGATAATGCCGTTTGGTCGATTTGTGCTCTTGAGGCGGGTTCGAGCCAGGCATCTTCCTGACTGGAGGGCCTATCTCTTGTGCTGCTTGAGATGGTTGTTTTCACGTTTTTTAAGTCACATCAGTCTTTTCGTCCAACCGATGTGCCTTGACCGATCCTAGTGCCATATGGCAGTTTGAGACGGCAGTTTAAATCAGGTTGTTCTCAGTGTCTGTGGGTGGAGAAACTCTCCTCGACGCATGCAGTGGTCCTCGGCTTACGCTTAGCTCTGCTATTGAAGCAGATGCAAAAATTAGCCATAAGACCACTGAGTGCCTTTCTGATGTGCCATCTCTGCAATACGTTGGGAAGGTTTGGGCCTTATCAACAATGTCCCTCATCCCTCTAGCCTTAGGTTCTTTTTGCTTCTCTTTGCCCCCCATCTCCTGGTTGTATTGGCTGCTTTCAATAAGCACAAGCGTTATGGCCGTATTTACACTTTCGCGACAGCTCATTTGGAACGTTGCGGAGCCTTCCTGGAGGTATCTATTACTATCCCTTTTGAGCTCAAGGTTGCAACTGTGCACACTGATTCAACGAATTCTGTGCCTTTTGGGCAAGGTATACTGTAACATTTGTAGTCTTAGTTCGTGACTCTGTTGTCGTTTCGTGCGTCAGTTAGCGTGACTACGTCTTCTTGAGGCAGTTCGGACGGATGCCATTATGAATTCGGGCAGGTTTCACGTCTACGCCACTAGGTGTCCCTCAGGCACACGTGAGGTGAATTTGAGTAGCGTGAACATGTTTTAATTCGTGTACTTCCGCGTGTTTTCCTGTCGTCATCTGAGTCAAGCTTTCTCCGTCCTGCCGCCCTTTCCATCTAACGTTCCCAGCTGCTTCCTCCCCGTCTCCTTTTCTCTCTTCCCGTCGGTTTGCAAAACAGCTTTTGTTTCTCACTGATAACACGCAGGTGGACCTCTACCCTTACAGGTCCTGTAAACTCGACACTGGACTAAATACGGGCATCCGAGGACTGGTGTGGTAGGTGGTTGCTCCCCCCGTGTTGACCCCTCATTGTCCTCTCGCCTCATATTACAGTGCAAATGAAAATCTCTGGACGAGCGCTGGACAGAATCGGTCTCTGTCATGGCATACGGCAGCTATTGATTTGCCGGTTTCTCCTGACCTCGAAACCTTTAAGGTCTGTACCACTAGGTGCTGCGAGCCCGTGCGTGCGTGTGTGTTTGTGTCTCAATTGGGTTTATTTTTGGAACTGTTATTTTAACGAGTGTGTGCACTTTCAAACGTCCACGCCCATCCACTGCCTTAACTGGCTTGTGCATAGTAAATTCAGTAACGACGCAATATGTGACCCCATCCAGAATGCGGAGGATAGGTCGTCGGTGGAAGTAGGAGTTATATGGGTGAGGGGCTAATGGACGGGAAGAAGACCGATGGAAAAGGATGGAGTTTTAGAAAAAAGTGTTCTGATTCCGTGGTTAGGTTCAAGTACATCCGGAAAAATTGAATACTAGCGAAATGTAACATAAAAACCTAAAGGAAGCT